GGCCCTCCTCCATGTATCTGGGATGAGAGATTATCCATCCATAGGGAAAGGGCCCCCAAAGTCCATTTGTGCACTATAGATAAATACTGGTTCCACTGTAAGAAGTGCCACAGAGACTACCCAGTCCTCCTAACTGACACCCATATTCCGAGGGATTGGTTCATTCCAATACTCTCACTTGGTCGGGTCAGCTGTTTCTGTGGGTCTCTCCAGCATGGTCTTGACCCCAGCAACAGCTGTCATGCCATGAGACAGGATGATCTGTGATGCCAGTGCTCTCCTTCCCCTCCCTCAGGCAAGTGAATAATATATAAAGTTGACATGTGCATGTGAACACACACACACACACACACACACACACACACACACACACACACACACTAAATAAACAGATGCAATAAAATCTTAAAAAGAAAAAGTGGCATGTTGGCTTTGCAGTTGATCTCAAATTTTGACATATACCTAAAAATATTTTTGACCATTTTTTCAACTATGGTATATTTGAATCAGTCTGGATATTTTTCATACACTTAATAGAAGCAACACATTATCATATAATGAATGCAGGAGCATATCTGAGAATCCAGCTGTTTTCTACAAAGCTAGACACTGATATTATTTGCCAAATAAATAAATAAACATTCCCATTTCTTGTAATAAGGTCTGGCTTTGGAAAATATAATTATTTCCATAAATATTTATAGTCACCTGTTATGAATTGAAATAGCTATTTTAAGTGATTTTAATTTCTGATATAGCAAATGTAACTATAAGACAAAAAAAACACCTCCTTAGAGGCATCAATTGTTTGTAAATTTTTGAAGTGATCTAGCTATAGAGACTTGAAAACAGTATATCAAAATGTCAAAGACAAAGCTTTATTGGGGGTCCTTAATAGCACCCCAAGAACATGGTAGGGTTTCAATAAACAATTGCAAAAGTGAAATAAATGTGTGTTCCATGCTGTGAAGTTATACAAACACAGGAACATCCAATCTCTCTCTCTCTCTCTCTCTCTCTCTCTCTCTCTCTCTCTCCCTCTCTCTCTCTCCCACTTTATCTTGTTTCTTTTCTATTCCAAGCCTACATATATATATATATTTTTTAAACATGCTGTAAACCCTCTGGAGGTTTATTTTCCTCTGAATCTTTCTTTACTGTAAATCTCTGCCTTTTTCTAGCCAGGAGCCTTTAATTGTTAAACAACATTGCTAAAATTAAAGCTGTGGCTGTTTTAGCTGCTGTCTTTTCAAGGTGGCATGGATTCATTTACCACCAGAACTGGGAACTGTGTTCACCACCTTGGGGCTGTTTTAGCTGCTGTCTTTTCAAGGTGGCATGGATTCATTTACCACCAGAACTGGGAACTGTGTTTACCTTCCTGCTCTGTACTTCTGTCAGGCATCATGCTGCCAGCTTGGAGATGTGCTCACTGTCACTGCTAGCTGCTCATACACCTTTCAGTTGTTAGCAAGGCCTCTGAAAAGTGCTTTTTGCCACTTATGCCGTGTCTGGAAACCTCCCTCAAAGGAGCTTCTTGAATCTCTGCTTGTCTATAGTAAAACAGAGCCAACCTGAGAAAATGCACTTGCCTCTTCTATTCTTTTGTTTTTAAAATCCCTTTATAAGTTTTTGTCAAGTTTTAAGTGGAAATTCATGCTCCAACTTGGGTGTCATTTTGAAACTTAAGCTTTTTAACCAGTCAGGTCCTGCTACCCTGATCTTGAAGAAACATTGTATATCATGGAGAACACAATAAAATAAAGGCCCCACCCATGCTTCTATACCAATCATGTCTCTTTTGACTGAGAAATGGATACAAAGTATGGGACATTTTCATTATATTTTTGTTAATGTTTCTTTTAAATTTCACTCCTTAGCTGACCAAGACCAATTGGTGTTTACTTAGTGTGTACAGTAGTGGGTCTTCAGAAACATGTTAAATGGATTTTTAAACATAGGGTTGACAGAGGTAAACTGAACTCAAAGGTTTCACTTCTAATAAATCACACCGGGGAAATTGTATGAATGTGGCAAAGCCTTAAGCTCCCATCCAACTCTTATTATTCATACTAGAGAGAAACTATATAAATGTAAAGGTTGTGGAAAAGCCATCAGAACAAATGCAGTGTCCCAGCTTCTAGCTCTCATGTTGTGAACAAAAACTTCAAGACAACCTACCTCTTAGACTTAACTAGTACCTGGAAACCCTGTTTAGCAACAAACTACCTCCAAGAGATAGACAAAGCCATAGAAACCACAGAATGCTCCTTTCCAGCACGAAGCAATGAGAACACACTACCTTCAATTAATAGACAAAGCCATAGAAACCACCAAATTTTCCAACCAATAAAAAATGCTAACAAACCAGTTGCCCTGACTCTGGAAAATTCCTCTAATTGTTCCCCAAATATCAAGCAATCAGGATCCAACCTGTGCCCCTCCCATACCTACTGAAGTAATCCTATGATTTTTTCCTTTAAATTCCGGCAATAGATAAGGGACCTCATTCCCTCTGGGGGCTGCTGCATCAGCTTTCTAGATGGAGACCCTACAGGTAGGATGAAACAATAAAGCTTTGCATTTATAGTTCAGTGAGTCTGCCTCCTTGGTGGTCTCTGGGGGTCTTTGAAATTTGGGCACAAGAGGGTAAGCTTTGAATGCTTTGTAGATTTGTAAATAATTTAGAACAGAAATAGACAGTGGTTGTAGAGTGTATATGAGGAAATCATGCATGTATTGAAGTAGAATCCCCAGGAGCCATAGGCTATAAGGTAACTTCCGAGTGTCACAGGTAGGTTATGTTGTGTTGCCTCCCCAAGAATTTTTTGCTAAAGAAATCTTTGAAATCCACCAGTCATAAGGTTATTGCCACTGTTGTTCGCTGCATGCTAGATAGTAAGACCCCATATCTGAAAGCACCTCATATTTCTGGTAAAGTGTGTGGAGAAATCTGACTGGGGTGAATGGGAAGTTTCCTCTTTTCTGGACAAATTTTATACCACTTGAAGTTACCACACAGGCTCTTAGGGGAAACCTGTCCTCAATAATTCTATTCAGTTTTGCTCCACATTTGTGTCCCCCCACCTTACCAGGATTATGTTCCAATTGATATAATAATGAAGCGACTATTAAGGGAGCAACTAACTACTTCCTGATAGGGTGTGAGGACTACTATACAGGAAATGATTTACCTTTGGCTGTGTAAGCCAGGGTCTTCACCTGTGGCTAGGATGTTAGTTGATAGGTCATGTTCATAGGACGGCATTTCACAACCTGTGGCTCAACATGTTGAGTTGAATTTTTTTGAGTGGTTTTGTTTTTGTGCTGAGACTTGGCTATCTGGTGTCAGCAGGGTGTATACAAATGTGGGCATAGAGGTGAAAGCTTGGGGACCCTTTACCTGCCAGTGCCGATCTTAGGGGAGGGCAGCTGTGTGGGCCTGGGTCTGAGGTTCTGAGAACCCCTCACCTGTACTGGGGGATCTGAG